GAAGTGGCCGAAGCCCATGACACAGCTCAGCAGGCGCCAGCAGCCGTGTGCGTCCCTCCTGCAGCTATTGCATTTCACACAGAGACATAAACAGACGTGCCCGCCAAGCTACGGCTGCGTTCGCTTGGCCAACAGTGACAGCAATGAGCCAAGACCCCGCACGTGGCACTTACGTCTTTGTCTGTCTGTCCCGAGACGGGAGATCGCCCTGCAAGCTGAGAGGGAGGAAAACGCGGGAATGATGCAAAGAGGGGGAGAGGACAGGCGGGACACGAGGCACCCTGAAAGGAGGAAGCAGAGGCATGAAGCACACAGTCACAGACCTGACAAAGGCTGTGAGAAACTCAAAAAAACTTGCTCAAACTTTTCTTTCTGTAGATTCCGAGTAACTTGAGAAGGGTGCACCTGCTCTACTTCCCGATGCCTCCAGCAAATCTCAGGAAAAACAGAGAATAAGCACTATTCTGTTTGGGGAGGACAGGGATAGGACTGAGCCCAGCTTTAGTTGTGGAGGTGAAAGGAGGACAAGGAGCCTTTCCTTAAATCCACGCAACACAGCACCTGACACAAAGTCAAGTTACAGACCGGGAGCTCCACGTGCGGCATCCCTTGGGCCGCACTAACACAGATCCGTAACAACTGCTCCGAGAGGAAACAGGCGGCTGCCGGAGCCCTGGAAAGATGGGAGGGAGGCTGGTAGTAAGGCGGGGAAGAGAAAGCAGCCCATGTGCAGCGGGAAGCACAGAGAGCAGGAGCCCTCAGCGGGCAGCGCTTCATCCAGGGCAGCAGCAGCGTCCCGGCAATAAAACACAGCGGCGGGAGCATGCCGGTGCCTCCCTCGTCCCTCCCAGAAAAGCAGTTGCTCCTTTACCCGGGAACTTTGCCTAAGTATCCACCATCAGTTCCCAAAAACACAACCAGAGAGATAACGCCGTTCCAAGTGGTACCCACGGCTCCCGCGGGAAGCGCCGGTCACCTGCCCGCGCCCCCTGCACGCTCCCCCGCCCCGGGACGAGCCGGCCCCGGCCGGAGCTCCGCCGGCAGCGCGGCCCCTCGGGAGGGCAGGGCAGGACCGCGGGGGCGGGAGCGAGCTCCAAGAGAGCTCCAAGCGAGCTCCAAGCAAGCTCCAAACCCGCTCCCGCCGCCGGCCGAGCCCGCCACGCTCCCCCCCGCTCAGCCCGGCGAACTCCCGCCGCGGTGTTTTCCCCCCTTTCCCGGCTTATGCAGGACTGGGAGAGGAAGGACCCGCTCCGGGAGCGGGGTGTCCCCACCCGCACTCCCCGGCATCCCGCGGGGGGTGCGGGCGGTGCTGAAGGTGCCGCCGGCACCGAGGGAACAAAGGCGGCGGCGGCGGGGAACAAAGAGCGGCAGGTACCGGAGCGGGGCCGGGCGGGGCGGCGGCACCGGCGGGCCGGGGCAGGGGCCGGGGCTGGGGATAGCATGGGGCCGGGCCGGGGCGGCAGCGCCGCCGCTCCCCGCACAAAGGCGCAGCCGGGCCGCGCCGCAACTTCCCGCGGGCGGGTCCCGGCGGGGCAGACTCACCGCGGGCGCAGTCCCGGCATCGGCGGCGGGCGCGGGTGGCGGCGGCGAGGGCGGGGGGAGGAGGATGAGGAGGAGGAGGGACCGGGCGCTCCCCGCCCCGGCCGCTGCCAGCGAGCGAGCGCGTTCCCCGCCCGGGGCCGGAGGGCGGCGCGGCCCCCGCAGCCCGGCCCGGCCCGGCCCCGCCTCCCCCGCCGCGCCGGGAGCGCTCCCGGGGCAGCCTCCGCCCCCCGCGCCGGCAGCTGCTCGCTGCCTTCTCTGTCTTCAGTGCCGCTCCCGCCCCGCCGGGACGCCCCCGGCACACCCGCGCTCGGTGGGATGCCCCAGAGAGAGGAAGGGGACGGTCCCCGGCTCCCCGCGCGCGCCCGTCCTCACCAGCCGCGCGAGGGGTTTCCCGGTGTTTTCCCTCCCAGCGCTTACCGGGACGGCGCTGTTCATCCCGCCCATCGCGGACAGCCAGGCAGGGCCACCAGGCGCTGTGTGTCCATGTGCTTTGAGTAAGGAATTGTGCTGGAAGTAAGAGAACCTGTGTGTTGTAAGAAGCGTTTTCTGGTCTGGGAGGATTTGCGGCCACAGGTGATACAAAAAAATAAAATACTTCAGTGTTGTCGCAGATCTGCAGCACCCCCAAATCAAATTTAGAAGATCATCGGAGACCTCTCCAGTTTCTGCACAGCCTCCATAGCCCTCCTCCAGCTAAGCTCCCCTCACCTCAGGCACAGATCCCAGGCTTGAACCATCTTCCCCCTCTCTTCCGGATGCAGACTGTCCTCAGCTTTAGAAGCAGCATCACCTGTCCTTGCTCAGCCAGAACTCTGGAGGCGCAGATGGGGGTCAGTTATGTGAACACGGGGCAAGTTGGGGGTCTCTTAACACTTCAGAATAGGGTGTTTGGAAGGGGAGAGAGGAAGGAATTCCTTACATTTTTCCCATTTGATACTGGATAGCTTTTGGCTGTAGAGTTCACAAAGTGAGAAGATATAAATATTGAGACTGAGCTTTGCTTTACACACCCAGAGGTCAGTCAGCTATCCAAAGAGAAATGTAACTTTCCAAAAGCCACTTCCTGCCAGTGCTGATACATTGGGTTTCTCCTCAGTCTGTGCTGATAAAACATCAACCAACTTAAAACAGGGAAGGAAGCGAAGTCCTATATTTGAAGGCTAAAAATCTAAATGTACCTACTTACTCAAGCTTTTCTTTATACCAACAGGTGTGTCAAGAAACCCTGCAGATTTGGAGCCCTGATTGTCTGTAAGGAAATTTTTCTTTACCAGGCAAAATGAACCCTACATCTTTTTGAGTGTCATTTCAGCTGGAGCCTGAGAATGCAGCCTGAGACTTGCAGAAGCATCAGTCAAAGCTGGTTACAACTTGACTGCCCTGCCTTGGCAAACACCTGCTCCAATTCCTGCCATCCTGGCAACAAATCAACCCATGAATGCTCTTTGTGTACTTTTTTTACTTGTTTTATTGAGGATTAATTAGTGTTTGTATAGTCACACAGTTGTCTGGTACTCCATGGACACAGCTGAAGGCAAAGGGCTGCCTTGGGGCTGTGCTGTAGTTTCCTAATTCCTGTGTTATGGCTACTGTAATGCATATCCTCAAAATGGAACAAGCATTTCTGACTGATTTATGACTTTTGACTGTCAGTTTTCAGTCTTGTGTTAAAGCAAGGAGAGAAGAAGATGCAATATCAAAGCCACACTCTGCTACTTGAAGAATTATTTCAACTCCCCTCTTGATCACTTGAGGCTCTTCCACATCCCATCAAATTCAGCAGAAGTCATCAAGCCTTGATCTTTTGTACCTCAGAGAACACCATCCCACATTATCCTCTCCATGTTCTTCTCACTGATTTTACCCTGCCATGAATCACATGGCTCCTCATCCCAGTGTGCACAGCACTGCAGGCACCTGCTGGGCTGTGTCAAACACAGCACAGGTCCCAGCCCAAGGTGCTTCTTTTCACTTAAATTACATATTTCATAATTAGCTTGTAAAGCACTTTGAAGACACGACACTAAGTGTTACTAACGCTAAATGGTATTGTTGGACAGGCTTAGTGCAAGCAATTAAATGGTAATACCATAAAAAATCCAAGACACAAAGGTAGAATGAAGTCATATATGCCTCCTTTGTATACAAATCTTCAGGCTCTTGATTACTTAGTACAGACTGATACTCTGAAAATAAGCTTTCATCTCTTTTTCCACACAGCCCTCCAGCCAGGAACTGCTAATGCCCTGTGCTCAGACTGTACCTGCTTTGACAGGTATAAGGGTGCTGCCAGCGAGGTGGGCAAGTGGCTGCTGTGGATCAGCCTTTGTGGAAGGTGAAGAGATGGAAGCTATGTGAGCACGGCTCTCTCCTGCTGCCTTTGGGTGTCCAAAATGATGGAGGGATCCATGGGGCACTGGGGAAAAGACCTGCAGAGCAGCACTGCAGGCTACAGCTGGCAGTGGTGTAGGTAACTGCAGTGGGGACGAGAAGCCCTCAGAGAGCTGGATGTCTTTTGTACAAAGGCATCCAGGTTTGTCATGCAATGCTGGCTTGGGGAAGAGTGGCTGGGAAGCTGCCTGGCAGAAAAGGACCTGGGGGTGCTGGTTGACAGCTGCTGTACATGAGCCAGAGTGTGCCCAGGTTACCAAGGAGGTCGGTGGCATCCTGGCTTGTATCAGGAATAGTGTGGCCAGCAGGACCAGGGCAGTGACCATCCCCCTGTATTGGGCACTGGTGAGGCCACACCTCGAATCCTCCATTCAGTTTTGGCCCCTCAATATAAGAAAGACATTGAGATGCTGGAGCATGTCCAGAGAAGGGCAACGGAGCTGGGGAAGTGGCTGGAACACAAGTCTGATGAGGAGCAGCTGAGGGAGCTGGAGGTGTTTAGCCTGGGGAAGAGAAGGCTTGGAGGAACCTTCTTGCTCTCTATAACTCCCTGAAAGGAGGTTGTAACCCAGGGGAGGTCGGTCTCTATTTCCAGGCAACCAGCAACAGGACAAGAGGAAATGGCCTTTAGTTGTACCAGGGGAGGTTTAGATTGGATATTGGGAAAAATTTCTTCCCTGAAAGGGTTGTCAGGCATTGGAACAGACTGCCTAGGGATGTGGTGGAATCACCATCTCTGGAAGTGATCAAAAGACATGTGGATGTGGCACCTGGGGACATGGTTTAGTGGTGAATGTGGTGATGCTGGTTGAACAGTTGGACTCGATGGTCGCAGAGGTCTTCTTTTCCAACCTTAATGATTTTATGATTCTGTGATCTGGCACTCATAGGTCCCACATGTATGAACAGCATGAGCTTCATGGTAGGGCATCCCTTCTATAATTCAGTTTGCGTGTCTAGATTCCAGCATTGGAGGGAGATCAAATGTCCCAAGTCTTACCCCCCTGTCAGCAAAAACCAGGAAATAAACACTCTAACCAGTTTGTTAGATTAGAAAGTTGGCATAACTTTATTCAACACTGAGGTACAGGAGGATCACTCCACAAAATATGTACATCAGTTATCAAAACTTTTGACTATTAATACATTTTGGTAAACAAAGGAATTAGTGTTCATTGGTTACAAGTTACATAGCTCTCTTATTAATTAGTCTTCTATTGGTTAATGATTCTCTTGCTTCTCATGCTAATTAGTCCACATGCTAATTAGTCCACATGCTCAGTTTCTCTCTTCTTTTGGGTCAGGGGGATTTCTTGAGTCGGTGGTCGTGGATCCCCCTACCAAAATTACCTTTTACCCACTTGGAGCTGATTTCAGCACAATTACTGAGTGGGTTTTATTAGTTTCTTCCTTGTCTTGAAAGTCCTGCCAAATGTCCTGGTTGGCCATAAATTCTGCATTCTTTCGTGTTCATTATCAATGGTACATCCCAAGCCATACTTCCTCCCCCAGGTCTGAGAGCCCTAAACTTTAATTTGTTTTTTTCTAACACATAGACATGTGTTAGAAAGCTTAGAGCTTAGAGCTTGCTTGTTAGCTGCTATCTATTTCATGGATTAAATCTCCTCTGTTGTTGATTAAGTCCTAACATTTTACCCCACTGCTGCACAGGCTCCTTTTTAAAGAAACATAACTTGTTTGGTAACACCCAAGCTGGATAAAGTGTTAACTCTGATGGGTAGTGAGGGCTGTATAAACTAATTTTGTTTGGATACTCCAAGTTATGTCTGCTCTGCAATCTGCCTGAACAAGTTTGGCCTGGTGACCCTCCTCTTTCCCTTGTGTGCAATCCCCATGCCAGGCTGGCACGGTGTGTGTGCTGGAGCTGGAGCTGGGAACCAGATGAAAGTTAGCCCAGAAGAAGAATACTTTGGCTCAATCTAGATTGCTCCCAGGATTTGACTGAGATGTGGACACACAAAGAGGTATGTCAGCACGGCAGAGGGGGCAGCAGGATCCAGCACAGAGACAGGAACACACAGCACAAGCTGGAGCTGGGAACAGGACACTACAGCAAGAAAACAAGGAATCAGCACCGTGCCAGAAACATCAGTCTCTGTGACCAGCTGCTCTCTGCTCACCCCATCCCTTGCAGGAGAGAGAAGAATTGGGAAAGGAGAGGAAGGAGTGAGAGTAGAAACTCACCTATGGACTTCCCAAAGGACTTTGCACCTTGCTGGTGCAGCAACGCCAAGGAGATATGGCTGCGTTTTGCGGACACCGTTTTTGGTGGCAGCACTTTGATGGACCAGACGGTTATTCTCCCTCTGCTGTGCTGGTGCAGCTTTTTGTGCCGTTATGTTGACAAACAGACCAGGAAACTGCTTAAAAAAATAGCACCCTCCCCACCTCAGTTATTTTTATCCTGGCTTAGTTCCCAGACGCAATTCACCTCATCTCCACTGAGGTGCAACTGGAGGAAGAGTGCTGGAGTGGGAAAGTGTAGCCAGAACCAGGCAAACGGGGGTCTGTCTAGACCCACTGTACCCCTCAAAAAATGCCCGTGGCCCAACGCCTCGGGGAGAGTTTCTCTTCAGAAACCGTGGGCAACTTGTTTGTCAGAATTAGGGAGATCAAAAAAAGAGGAAAGGAATTTTGAATCCATGTAGGCACGTGGAGTATTTGCATACTATTTTCCTCTGCAGAACATAAAAGGAAATCTGACTGTAATCATGTTAGAAATGCTCCCTCTTCCCCTCCCATTCAATCTAAGTATTATGTATGACACTGTCCCCGGTGTGTAAGGCGGCTCCAGCAGATCACTGAGGCAACAACGCTGCCTCCAACACCCGAGTGGTTCTGCTGAAGTCAGTGGAAACCCTTCCATGGATAAAGTTGCACATGCTTAAACGCTTTGTTAGGTCACAAGCTAATTTAAGGATGAAGGAGCAGAGCTCCAAAGGAGAAAAATAGGTTAATAACACTGAAGTCACAGCAAATCTGTAGGAAATCTCCTGGAATAGGTCCATAATTAGTAAAACGCTTCTCAAAGAGGATACACTCAGCTTTTTTTTCAGTTCTCTTTTCTCCCTGATTTTGCCTGCGGATTGTGGTTCCTGGCTAAAAACAGGACAAACTGAAGACTTCTACACTTAGAAAGTAGCACCTGAACCTTACAGCAGCATTGAGGAGCTGGCACCATGCACTTACATCTTCCTCTGCACCATTGCATCGTTTCAAGGGGGTGGCTGTCTCATGGTAACCAATGCTGAACACACAGGTTGGTGCAAACTCCCAATTTTTTCAGAGCAGAGGCATATCCCAGGTTAGTGTCTTGAGGAGAGGCACCTGCCATCTGAACTGAGTAGGGTTCATTTTGCTCCATTTATAATGCAGGCTTTAAAGGTTTCCACTCTACATCTTCCCACCTCCCAAAGTGCACCAGCTTCTCAGTTACAGGGTGGGAGGGTTTGTTACACAAGGAACTTCAAGTTCCTCAGTGAAAATTAAAATTCAAAGGTGAGCACCCCCAGCCCTCAATACCACCTGAGTGGAATCTCTTGGATCACAGGTTTTTGCTGAGGTACCTCTGACCTGTCCAAGTCCTGCTTCAGGTATTAAAGTGCCTTTTTGGATCCCACTTGAAACCTTGCATTACTGATGGGCTTACTGAGCTTAGCAGACTATGTTTTAGGAGTCTGTTAGGCTCCTGATAAGATCTCGTCAAGTCTTACAGACCTTTGGGGGCCCGTAAGATCTTGACCTGATCTTACCAGTAAACTCAGGCAAAGTTTTGGGCTCAGAATCCCCTTATCTTAAACCCAAATGTTTATCCACTTTTTTCAATTGTATTAGTCAGTCTAATAAAAAATATTACCTCTGTTATCCTTGGACTGTCACTGCTGCAGCTCTTGTGCTGTAAGGGCACGGTCACGAGCCTGCAATCAAGACCCCACTGGTCCTGTCAGCTTCACCCTCATGCTCCAAGGCTGGCTGGTGCCTCCCAAGCACACTGTATCACACCAGCAGTTTGGCATCTCGGTTTTGGCTCTATTTCTCAGAAGTTGTGTGAGAGGAACCTGCCAAGAAAGACTGTATTCAGCTGGCCATAGCAGAAGCTGGAGAAACACAGCATAGAGGTCAAATGCCGGCTCTGCATTCAGGAACCTGCAGGATTTACAAGGGAATAACAGCAGCTGGGCAAGCAGCTTCTTTGTAAAATAGCTCCAACAGGCCACCTGTAAGCCCAGGTGCTTGTAAAGCAAAACTGGGCAGCAGAAGGTACCCAAAGGCTTATGCATTTTTCTTTTGCTGGCCTCCTCTCACCCCTGAAGCCCTTTCACTGAGCCTCAGACAAGACCTGCAATAGTTTCACTTTGAGCAGTGACTGTTTTAATCTCTTGATAGCATTTCCCTTCCTTGCCATCTCCAACAATGAAAAGGAAACCAAGAGAAAAACCAACAACCTCTGTGTTGTATGTATTGATGGTTCTAGGACACACCTGGGCTGAGGACGGCAGGAATCATGTCAGCACGTACCAGGCACCCTTCTCACCCCTCCTTTGTCAGGGTAAGGCTCCCTTGAGCAGCTCTCAGGCAGCAGCACTTCGCTTTGCCTCTGCTTCCCCTGCAATCCTGACATGTCTTGGGTGGCTACAGCCCATTTTCAACCATGATTCAGTGGAGAACAAAAAAGCTCTCGAGGGTAGGAAGTGGGGCTAAGGCTTCTTTGGAAGCAGGATTTAGTAATCCCGATTGCCACCTTTAAAAATCAGTGCCCTTGGGCCCCAGCCAGCCCTCAGCTCTGTCAACATCTTTACTGCCAACTTTACTAACAGTCACACAAATGTAAATCTACTGTGAGAAGAGGATTAAGCCCATTCTGGTTTTATGGCCTATGAAATGTCTCCTGCCCTGCTGCCACTGTGCAGTGATACATAACACAGAAAAGGGGAATTCAGGCTGCTATTTTGTCTTCAGAATTTTAAAGGAAAAAAAACATAATTCCAGAAACTTTACCAGCCAGAGAAGCACATATGTGTACAAGGTTTCTTCCAAATCAGAAGCTAAAAGCCTTTACCTTGCCAGATGCTGGTCAGGGTACATAATTTTTTCCCCTCAAAATAAGATTATCAACAGCAATTTTCCATGCATTCAAGTTCGGGATTTTGCCTGCAAGGGGATTAAAGCTCAGGCAAACATGAGCCTGCCTGGATACTGCCCTGCTCCATGTAGAGCTCTCACTTGGGGTGAGACCCAAGCAGGGGGTTATGTAGGAATCCCACTAAAATGATTATTCCTTCACTGATGACTCAGTTGGCTGAGATTTTCAAGGAGGACTGAGGGAATTATATTTATGGTTTCTAAAAATTTCAGTTTGGTGTGGATTCCTGACCCCCTTAGGTTGATATTTTCATACAAAAGGGGTTTTTTTAGAAAGGGATTTTTTACTATAAAATTTATTATTGGATTTCAGCTCTTGGGCTGGGAATATATTTTCATTCCAGGTTTCTATAATCTTATAGCATGGTTAGACCTCTTAGCAGGATCTGAATACCACTAAATAATTGTAATGATTATTAACAGTGTAACTCCATTGAGCTGTCAGCAGAAAAACAGCCAAGCTGAATACATATTTCAATTAAAGATGCAGAATTATGCATATTTATGCAGAAGCCTGAAAAGCAGATGATATTTAAAATGTACTTCAGGGCAGGAGATACAATTAATTTTTCATTACCTTTATTACTTATCCCAGTCTCCAGCTTGAAAATCTCATTCACTCAGTCCTTAGCTGTGTAAAGTTGCTGTTGCCTTCAGTGTAAGATTTTCTGAGTGACTGAGACCTTTTTGGTCGCAGGGGATAGGTAGGGACTGTAATGAGATACTACACCGACCCTCGAAGGCACAATTGATAGCGTTTGCCAAAATGGGAATCCACCTCCCTGGCAGACACTCACATTCACACACTCACCCTCTGCTTCAGCTCTCAGTCCTCCTGGTGAAAGTCTCTTGCAGATCAGAAAGAAAAGCGGGGCATGAAGGCAGACTGCAGTGACCTCTTGTTTTGGTATGTAGTGCTGTTTGTTTTGGCATTGGGGATATATTTAGTAAACTGTCATCTGTTATAATTCGTGTGGGGACAGCTCCCATATTTTGAGAGACGTTTGCTGTTCTGCATTGCCCAGAGTCCGTAAATTGCTCTGTCATTTACACACTGGTCTATTTTAAAAGCAGTGTTAGTGGACACATCCTCTCCTTTAAACCCACCGTGAGGATCTTGAGCTCCCAAACGCTTTTGCAGGTTTTTAGCCAAGTCCTCTTCTCCTGAGCAAACAATTTGATATTTATTTGTAAACAGTTTTCCTGAAACCAAGGGAAATGCATGTGAAATGAGACACTGCTGTGTTTCTGACCATGTGACACTGTCCCTTGAAGTGTGGCCTCAGCCTTCCAGAGGTATCATCCTTCCTGTGACAGGCCCAGCTATTTTTGGCCATCGAGGCCCTGGTGTCAGGCGCTGGGGGACCTTCTGCTCTGCAGGAGCACGTGGACCAACAATCCCATTCCGTGCAGGGAGCCACCAGCCAAGCATTAGTGCCAGTCACAGGTTTGCTGGCCCATCCGCTGCCTGGGGCTGACCACAAAGCAATACCTTGCTTGCAATTTGCAGTGCGAAAACCAAACATGTTATTTCGTGTTTAGCCCAAACATCAGCAGTCACCCTCACATCCAAAGAAAGGGAAGGAAAATGACAACAGAAAGAGCCTGTACCAGCACAAAGATGGGCTTAAATCATGGGGACCAAGGCAATGCTGCTGTCACCTCCCCCCAGCCCCTGCAGGGCCCCACAGATGGGACCCCAAGACCCCCAGTCTCTCCACATTTCTCCACACCTTTGCAACCTTCCATCCCCACCCTGGGAATGTCACACCCCACAGCTGGCCTGTCAGGATGAGTTCACCCACCACCCCAGCTGCCAGCCCTGGAGACAAGCCCGGCTCAGAGGCAGCCAGACACAGCTCCTAAGATGGATTTGGGCTTCCTCAGCCTTGGAGGGCAGCGATAACCACTTGTACCCTCTGCCAATCAGGGCTACTCCTCTCGTTATCACTTACAAATGGCTCCTGACACGGGCTTGTCCTGTGCAAGTCCCAGACCTCTTACTCAGATATATACTACCAAGATAGGGTTTTTGGGTGCAGCAAGGAGTTGAGCTGTTCCCTCCAGCGTTGAGCACCAGAGGAAGCTGCTGGACATCTCCTGGTTGCCCTACAGTGAGTCCCTGGCCCTTGTTCTGCAGAAATAAACTAAAAGCTTTTCCCAAATTTTAATTTCTGGAGAATATCCACTGATACATAGGCTAGTGCAATACATTATCATGTATCATACACTGCTTGTCTTGAAAAAAGCAAGGTCAAATGAGTACACCTTGCAGGCACAGCAGGAATTTTGTGGTGGTTGCAGTTCTTCTGGGAGTTGTTATTATTAGGGTTTGCAGTGCATAAAATCCAGGACTCTCCTGTGGCAAAGGGACATATCGCTGCCACCAGCAGAAAAAAGGATAAGGAGAGCCTGTGCACAGCCCTGGAGGTGTCAGAGGTAATGGAGTCATTATGGGTACCTGGGCAGGAACTTGTTCCTGACGAAGGCAGGCGGAGATTGGACCTGGTCAAGCCTAAATTGGCCAAAGTGGTGTTTGAGCCTCCTCAGATTTTGTCAGGCAGAGAGAAAAATTGCCCCAGTGAGCATCTGGAGGAAGACTGGAGCAAGAGTTCCCAGCAGAGCAGACATTCATGCAGATGAGGACAAGGCCAAAAAGGGGGAAAACAGGGGTGTGAAGAGCGACAAAGTCCTGGCTTAGGTGGAGGGTGACACAAGACCTCGCTGCTGCTCCAGAAGGCATTTTTGTCCTTCCCCGCCACCTCTAGCCAGGTGGCCTTCACATCTCCTTCCTATCGAACTGGCACTTGTGGGAACCATAAATCCCAGCTTAAATGAGCTGGTGCAGCTGCAGAACGGTCTGGAAAAAGTCATGTAGTTGGTTTTCAGTTGTCTGGATGGAGCCAGTGCAGGGAGCCATGGTTGATGGATCAGAGAAAGGGAGAGCAGGAAGGGCACAGCCTGCAGCTTCTGGCAGCTCTGCCCACGTGGGTGAGCATGAGCCAGCATTTTGTCTGAGCTGATCTAAGTGAAGCAGTCACAGTAGGGTGATCCCATCCTGAGCTGCCCCAGTTGTGCCCTCTCCTTCTGTCCTGCACCAGGTTTAGTGATGAGAGGTTACTAGAATGAGCCAGCTCAACTATCAGATCCAACAGAAAACTAGGAAGCCTTTAACAGCAAGTGTGATCAAACACTGGAATAGGCTTCCTAGAGGGGTGGTTGATGCCCCAAGCCTGTCATTGTTTAAGAGGCATTTGGACAATGTCTTTAATTAATGCTGTAACTTTTGGTCAGCCCTGAAGTGGTCAGGCAGTTGGATGAGGTGTTTGTTGTAGGTCCCTTCCAACTGAAAGATTCTATTCTATTCTACTCCATTATAGAGGTGCTTTCTGGGATGCTTCTGGTCGATCAGGTCAGCTTATTGAACAAATTCATCCCACGGACACGTCACCACTAGATGCAATGCAAGGGGAGCAGTCTTAAATGTGTGGTTTTGTGATGGGGCTGAGCCCATTCACCCGCCCCCAGCCCCTGAGGGGCATGGTCTGTCCCTGTTCCCTCCCCATGGCACTGGTACTCACTGACCACGCAGCCACCTCACCCTTCAGGGACCTGAAGCAACCAACAGCTCATTGCAAGAAATAAAAATAGCTTCAGGCTGGGCTGGTTGAGCACCCTGGCACGCTGTGTGAGGGAGCACCAAAGTGAGGGATCAGAGGAGGTGGATGTGCTGTCGGTTTGATGTGCAGAGCTGTACCCCAGAGCCACCCCCCCAGTGTGACCTTGCAGCAGAGTCAGAGCACAGCAAGAGCTGCAGTGCCAGCAGAAGGCAGAAACGGCTGCTCCCAGGCAGATGTTCAGTGAACTGTCCCAGCACACCTTTCTGCAGCAAGATGCAGCACAGAGCTCCAGATGTTTCACCAACCTGCAACAAAGAGCCAGGTCAAGGTCACTCCGGCAATGCAAAACATACTGCAGGCAGATGTGCAGGAGCAGACTGCATTTCTATAAAAGAACACAACTTTTAGGACAAAACTCAACTCTTGCTAGTGCAAGGAAAGGTAAGCTGGGTGTGGGAGAGCACGTGCTTGCTGCAGCAATGAAATGGCTCATCTCCAAGTGCCAGATAGGCCCCCAAGAAGGCCCTGCATGACACAGAGATGCTGTTATTCCACTGCCACCATGGACCAAAACAAAATGTAAATCTCTCTGAAGTTCAAAGTATTACTCCATGCTGTTTTAATAACAAAGTTTACTGTGTAATTTGGCTCTGTGCTCTTTATTCACTTCAGACGAGTCCAAAAATGAAATGGGAATCGGGTAAGAGGCCAGAGCTGAAGTTGCTCATAGCTTATGTTTAGTTCCTTCCGTTACACTTTCATTTTCAGTGCCACTAATCCTTTATTTTCGTGACAACTTTAAAGATCCATTTTAATTATAATGTAATGAAAAGCTGAATCCAGAGATGCAGCTGCAGAAGGGTAATCACCTCCTGTGCTTTGTACTTAGAAGTGGTGATTCACTGTACATTCCAGGGACGGATTGAAATGATGAATTTTAACAATGACAAAGTTCAACAATCAGGAAGTCTTAATTTAAAAAAACCCATCTGGTATTTTAAATTTTATTTTATTATGGTTCTCCACAGTTACTTCAATTTTTAAAGAAAGATTAAGTTTAGTGACTGTTGGAACTAATTAGATGTGACTAACCAGGAGGGCACCTGTGGCTTTTACTTATTCAAGTGAGTCTGTATCTTATATGCATTAATTCAGATTCCTAATTATATCTTAATAAAACTATTAGAAATGGTGAATTATGTTTTTTTTATTTAGTATTTTTCACTTAGGTCAAACTGGATGGAGGTTGGGTTGCAATTATATATGAGTAAACAAGTGCTTTAAAATTTAATTTTAGTCTATAAAAGATCTTAACTGCCCTGAATACATACAACAAATGAAAGTATTCTTTTAAAAAAAAAATTAGAGTTAACTGATTCATTAAATAAACAAGTATTTTCTGTAATTGGATTAGGAGGATTTTTTCTGAATTTCAAGATGTCAGAAGTGCTAGCTCTCATCCTCAGCTGTCTCCCTTTCTTAGGTAAAAGGAAGAAAACATGTTTTCCTGCTTTTTCTGTTGTCAATTAACATCTTTAGCTGTCCTTAGCCAAGTAGCTGAATTAACTGGAAATAAGAAATACTCTTTCTGCCCCTGCAGATCATGCTCTTGTCGAAGCCTCGTGCCAGTTCTGGCTGCTGGACCCTCTGACCCGACAGAGCACCTTGTGGGGAGATCGGACCACAACCTCCAGTGAATTCACAGCCACGTTAAACCACTGTGGGTCATATTTCATTATAAATAGCCTTATTTCCAACGGAGTAAATGCAATTAAACATCTCCAAACATCTCAGTGGTTGTTTGGAGGGCAGCGCCCGGCGCTGGGTTAGAAGGTGGGTTCCCATCGGCAGGACAGATCCTCCTAATGAAGCCAAAAGCAAATTTTGGTGCAAATCTCCTCCAGAAAGCGTTTGGTCCAGTGCCGGCTGGCAGGGGTGGGGTGTCTCCCACCAGCCTGATAAAGGCCTGGAAAAATGAGGGACCTTCATTAAAGGCTTTTCATCAACGCCCGGTGATTCGCAGAAGCAACGCTGACATCTAGTGGGGAAGCGC